TATATATATATATATATAAAGTTGTTTGGCATTGAAACACACATGACTCCGCTCATTTGGTACTTAAAAGATGATAAGTAGCTTCCTTGATAAGTGACAATTTGGTAAAACATATTTAATGCAAGAAATTAATCCACTGACAAACACTTTTCTTTACAAGGAATGAAAATTGAAAGATAGATGAACCAAGCCTACGAGATGCGCTCAAGAATTTACATTAATTATTTTTGTGTATAAACCTTGTTCATAATATTGTTATATTACGTCTTGAAAGTAAGACGAAGAAAACAGTTATCCTACCCAACTTTAACTTTATGTTATTGCTTTGAGGCTAAAGAGGTTTGATCATAAAAGAATATTTGGCTACTTTGAGCCAGGAGAAGCTTATCTGTAAAAGAATACTTGGTTGTTTGAAGCTTGGAGAGACTTTGTGTGAAAGAATACTTAGGTATATAGTCACTTGAAGAGACAAATCAAAGAATACTTAGGTTAAGCCAGAAGTGACTTGTAAAAGAATACTTGTATCTTGGTAAAAGATAGTGGAACTTAATCGGGTTTGATCAAGAACTGGATGTAGTCTCGATGATTAAGACGAACTTGTAACACCCCATGTTTTCTAAAATTATTAATAGAATATTTGATTAATTAAAGGGTTTTATAAAATATTTTAGAGGCTTTTAATATTATAAGTATTTTAATTAAATAATAAATGTTTATGAAAATTATTTTGTATAATATTTATAAGAGAAATATACATTTTTATAATATTTTGTTATAATAAGTATTTGGTGAAAAATATGTGTATTTATTATACTTGTTTATTTTTCTATATTTTTTTTAATTATCATGGTGTTGGGAGAAATATATTTATTTTATATATTATATTTTTTATTATTAATTATTGTACCTTTTTATAATTATTTGGGTTTGGAGAAATATGTTTATTTAATATTATTTATTTAAAAGTTTTAATAATTGTGGGAAAGGAAAAAAGAACTATGATTATATTTTTATCGAAGGGTTAAGTGTCGGTTAAGTTTTTTAAAAAAGGTGTTACAATAGTTATTTTATTTTTACACTTCTCATTTTTCATATTGCAAATGCATTCAATAGAATGGGAAGGAGAACCAGAGCTTGTAGGATAACACCTCAGAGATCCACGTCTTTCATCAAGTATTCATCGAGGTAAGAAAGGAGCGGTTAATCTCGTTCTAGGTGTGGAATGTATGTTGCATAGTAGGAATGACCCCACAATCCCTTATCTACTACTTGTATTGTATGAAGGGAGATTTTCTCAATTGATTGTATTATGTGTTTTTGGTATTCTATATGATTCCTTACTATTCTATTTGATATTGTGTAGTTGTATATGTCTCCAATTTCATGATTGAACATGTAATTGTGAAGTTTGGATTGCCTGTGAGTTCTTATTGGAGACCTAAATGGTTAATGTGAGAGTAGTTAATAGGGGTATGTAATTAGAATATGAAATTGCTGAAGTTTTAATCATGATGTTTATATTGGATTGGAGTTTTAGAGTTTTGGGTTCGTAATGTGCAATTTTCACACAACCTAGAAGTTTTTCATGAACTAATATCACGTCAGGAATCAAATGGACTACATCGAGTGCCATTTGACATTTTTTTTTGCAAGTTTTCATGTCGAGAGTGACCTTAGTCACGCTGGGCACAGTTACTCCCAAGAAGATGTTGTCCTTTTCGCATCGGTTGTGACATTGTTAGAATCAGGTTTTGTGATTTTCAAATGAATTCTATCCATAGATGTTAGCTTTCAAATTATGTTGGAATCACCTAAAAAGGAGGTTTAGAACTCATGTTATGATCAAATTAGTGAACAAATGTCAAAATTTCATATTTAAGCTGAAACACCCGGTTTTTTTTTTTTTTAAAAAAATAGTAGATGACATAATTAGCTCTTGAGGTCAACATAGAAGTTGGAGATAATTATATTTCTAAGAAAATTAATATCAACTTGATAGCATATACATAGCTCTAGATAAGGTTTTTAGATCACTCGGTGTCTTAAAAGATTATGTTTTGGAAAAGTAGTTTATGAATAATGATGATGAATAATTTTACCCTTTCAGTGTTTAATCTTATAAATGGTTTGATGTACCTATATTAATGTCTAGGGAACAAAAATCATGGAGAAATTAATTGATAATAAGTTATAATGTAAGTTGATTGTTAATAACTTGAGATGTTTTGACAATAGCGATGTCTAAAGATTTAACGTGTGATATTAATAAGGCTGCTAGGCTAGTTAAGCTATCAATTTAAATTCTTAGTGATGTTGATCTTTTATTAACTATGATTGAGGTGTTAATACATGATTTGACGATCTCATAATGATCTATCTTGAGGTGTATCGGATGATGTTGTGTAATTGTTGTGTTTAAATCACAAACATGTGTACTCATTATACTAATTAATATTGATAACTAGTTGTGGTATGTGAATATGTTACTGATATGATTATGAGCTATGTATGAGTTTTAGTGATATGTTCCTTTATGCCATTGATTTCTAATATTTTATTGATATAGTTGAATTGTTAATTGTTATATTGAGAATAGTTGATGATTATATGATATGCGATTAGTTGGCAATGAAATGATGTGATAATGTGATATGATAAGATGTGAATTAATGAGATCGTGTGATTTGATGATCTCATAATGATCTATCTTGAGGTGTATAAGATGATGTTATGTAATTGTTGTGTTTAAATCACAAACATGTGTACTCGTTGTACTAATTAATATTGATAACTAGTTGTGTTATGAGAATATGTTACTGGTATGATTTTGAGCTATGTATGAGTTTTAGTGATATGATCCTTTATGCCATTGGTTGCTAATATTTTATTGATATAGTTGAATTGTTAATTGTTATATTGAGAATAATTGATGATTATATGATATGAGATTAGTTGACAATGAAATGATGTGATAATGTGATATGATAAGACATGTGATATGTGAATTAATGAGATCATGTGAAATGTTATGCTTAAAGTCTATTTGACATGCATTATATGCATAAAATTATTTTTAAAGGTATGGTATAGAATACACTAATAGGGATGGTCCCCTTGTCTAAAAGCTTGGGGATCAATCCTTGGGGATAACTTTGTTTTGAAGTCCCAGTCTTGCCCATTGTGTGCATGTGGGGTGTATCTTGCATGGCTTAGCTATCCTGACTAAACCCTAGTAGTATGTTCTCCTAGTAAGAGTGTGTTAAAGGCATGATTTGGCATGTATTCCTATATTATTCTACATGTATTGCTAGTGTAACACCCCAGTTTTTATTTCACTTTTTATTTATTTAGATCATTACCATATGCCTCCATTATCTCCGCCATTAAAACACTAGTAGAAAATAAGTATATTACGTCACCCCTTTTACGTCGGAAACACGAAAATCCGACGTAAAAAAAATGCGGTGGCATTCTCCGTAATTGTGATCAGGCTTTTGAAACCTTGAAGTTTGAACTGGGTTTAGAGAGACTTACAAGTGTTGGAGTAAGTTTTTAATTGCAAAATATTAATTCAAGCACTTTTCAAGGAAATAATAGTAAAAAAAGCATTGGGAAGAGAAAAAGTATTGGGAAAAATTCAAGTCCCAAATTGACTAGAAATTAGACAATTAAATAGTATATAAGTAGAAAACAACCCTCATCTTAAAAGCTGATTTTGTTGGGTTGAGTTAAACTCAAATCTACTATTCTAATATAGTATCAGAGCCATCTATATCCACTTTAAATGGGTCACTCACCATTGATACATGTCTCATGGGCATGAGGGGGTGTATTGAAAAAAAAAAATTCAAGTCCCGCCAATCCTAGAACATTAAAAAGGGTCACCCACCATTTATTCACGTATCAAGCCCAATAGAGAGGGTGTATTGGGAAAAATTCAAGTCCCACATCGACTAAAGATTAAACAATTAAATAGTATATAAGTGAAAAATAAGGAATGTATTGTGAAAAACTCAAATCTCACATCAACTGTCTCATGGGCATGAGGGGGTGTATTAAAAAAAAATTCAAGTCTCGCCAATTCTAGAACATTAAAATGGGTCACCCACCATTTATTCAGGTATCAAGCCCAATAGTGTTGGACATGAAGGGGTGTATTGGAAAAAATTCAAGTCCCACATCGACTAAAGATTAAGCAATTAAATAATATATAAGTGAAAAATAAGGAGTGTATTGTGAAAAACTCAAATTTCACATCAATTAGAGATTAAACAATTAAATAATATATAAGTGAAAAGTAACCCTTACCTTAAGTCAATTTTGTAGGCTTGAATTAGACTCAAATTTACTATTCTAATAAAAAAGGTTTGAAACTTTGAATTTAATGAACATTTGAAACTTCTCAATGATAAACTAATTTTAATCCCTACTCAATAATTTGTTTAAGGAGACAAAAATCAATCCACTTGTACCAACAATTTACTTGTTATTACATCATCATATCATAACAAGTGATAATATAAATTATTTAATTTTTTTTAAGCATTGTCGAGATGAAATTAAAATATTGTTTTTAATCCTATTTATAAAAATTAAGAAGATATTTATGTCTTATTTTATTGTATCAATGTGAAAGTGATTTTCCAATGCCCACGAATGTTATTCAACTAAATTTTAAGCTATCTCCTAGTTCCAATGTCCCATACTGATGAAACCGATGATATTATGATTGAAAATAATTTAGATAAATAAAAACAATTTTTTGTATTTATTATGATAAAAAAGAACAAAGTGGCATATTTCAAAGTGCAAAAGATCGTTAACTGAAAAGTTTATACAAGCTCGGTTGTGCACATTTGAGCGAAAAGCATTAATGGAGTATGCTTTAAATAATAATGCATTATTGGTAGGGTTTCCATGTGTCAATGCTATTGTTACCGTTAGAGTTTCATTGACATTCGTCATCGCACGTGACACGCGCGTGACCAAATTCCTCATTTGAATTCGGACCTAAGCGCCGTTTTATGAAATCCACTTTAATCCAACCCAACACATCCACATTCAAAATCGCGTCCACTCCCCTCGCTCCTCTGTTCAAATCGCAGAACACTTCGTTCTTTGTTCTCACTCTCTTCTCTCTCTCACACTGTCGCTCTCTCGCAGGAGGTAAGCAAAGTTCACTCTCCAAATTCCATTTCGATACTTCACCTGCTCCCACGCTCCACCCTCCACCCTCTTTCACAATCATTCGCTGTTATGCGAGATTGAAAGAAATGAGTGAGACTCAAAGTGAGATTAATGTTTGCGATTTGATTGTGTTTCAGGGTTTCCAGTCCCGAGGCTGATTTGAATTGGCTTGAGATGGAGAATTCCGAATCGGCGCAGAGCGTGCGGGTTGCCGTCAACATTCGGCCTCTGATCACGTCGGAGCTTATGCTCGGGTGCACAGATTGCATCTCCGTCGTCCCTGGTGAACCTCAGGTGTGTTTTCCGTTTGGATTTGAATGCTCTGTTCATGTTGTATGTTGCATTTGCTCTTACGCACTCAATTTATGTTATGTTTTTGGATTTAGTGTATGTTGGAATTTGTAAGCATGTACAAAATTGTTGTGTAGGTGCAAATTGGGTCACACGCTTTCACTTATGACTATGTTTATGGTAGTACGGGATCTCGGTCGTCTGCAATATACGATGATTGCGTAGCTCCACTTGTAGATGCGCTTTTCAATGGCTACAATGCAACCGTTCTTGCGTATGGCCAGGTATAGTTTCGCATTTGGTTTTGTCTTTGATGATTGGAAAATTTGTGTTTCAGAAACTTTGATTTGTTATATGTAGTATGCATTGACTGTTTTTTTTTTTTTTTTTTAATGATAATGTTAATTGCAAGATTTGAGATAAATGGGTGTGATTGCGAATTTTGAAGTGAAAATGATGCACGATTGATAGAGTTATGATATATATAGAAATGCTTGTAAATATTTCATTGTAATGAGATTACATTGTTGTGTCTGTGCTTTACATATGGATGTTTTCTTTTCTCACCGTACAAATTGTGGATGTTTTAGGTGAGGGAGATCCTGCTTCGAGTGACATCTAGTATGCCAACAGTTGAATTGTGGGGATGCTCTGATATTGTGACATCGGGGCAGAGGATTTTTAGAACATATGTTTTTATTTGGATTTGGAATTGTAAATGTTATTTTTGAAAATAATTTATAAACTCTTGCGTTTCATTTTTATTATTGTGGTTATTGAAGGATAATTTTGAAGATTCTCATGTGAACCCTTTTACCGAAATTGAAAAATTTATTTGTAAGTTTTTATTATTACAATATATGTGTTGGGGTAGTAAGGGTGTCACAGCTAGCGACAATGCACAAGTGTGATGTGTGATTTTTTACTAGTTTTACATGCATGTTAATATGTAGTCCATGTCCATTACATATACATCTTAATGTTATGTGTTATTTAATAATTATGTCATGAATAAGTGAAGTGTCTTATTGTTACCAATCTACTTATGCTATGTATATATGTATATCTTATTTCTATTTGGTTGCCTGACTACATCTTACACTGTGAGTGAGAGTGAGATATTTTTCACTTCCCTTGTTTGTGTTTGTCTCTGTTGTATGTTGTTAAAGGTGATCTTTAGCATAATGTTGAGGATGTTGGTGATGAAGCTTAATCCTCATAAATGTGTTATGCTTTGATAGGATATGACTTCGAGATTTAGTTATGAAGTTTCTTTGTGTTGTTCTGTTATGAGATAGTTGTTCGATTTCATTGTATTTTCAGTTGGATTTCAATTATTTTTTTATAGGTTAAAATGTGGTACTCTCTATGTTGAACATGACATATTTTCATGTATAATAGACTTCTTGATTTTTTTATTCATTTCAAGTATTACAGTATGTAGGGTAAAGGGTGTCACAAATTTTTGGATAACGTGATTTTCCTCCAATCTCGTTGTTTATTATTATTTATTGCATTTATATGACCACCTTAAGAGCACCTGATTTCTTGTAGTCTATGAATTGATTGAGTATTTGTCTTCTATTGTCTCTTTTTTTTTTTTAATTAACTTATGTTCTAAGATGTATGTTTGAGTAATTTGGATGTGAATTTGAGTCCTTATAGAGAACTGTTAGGTTGTTGTAAAAATTCCAATTTAAAGTAATATGAAAATTGGATTATATGATTATAGGTTGAGTTATTAATGTGTAATTTAAGCAACTAATGATGCAAAAAAACATAGTATTAGGCTTCGTTTGTGTTTTGACCTTTTAGAATATGTTAAAAGAGAAATTTGGTAACCTATGTGATTTTTGCAACTTTTGCAAGAAGACATGAAACTATTGTCCATTGGGGGTGGGGGATCGTGGTGCCAAGCTCCATGATCCTTGAGAGCAAGGGATGCTCTTTATCTCAATAGTGTTGGGTGCCAATAAGATTGTGTTGGGCACAAGAGCTCCACAAAGCATGTCTCTATTACTTAGTTGTTGGGTATGGTGTTGACCACGTTGGGCATTATAGCTCCAAGAGCTCTTTGTGGCTATAATGTCAAGCAAAGGTGTTGTCACTTTGGGTGAGAGATCTCTAGAGAGCACAAGTTGCTCTTTGTAGGGATGGCATTGGGCGCGAGGTGGGCCTCACCAAGCATGACACCTTGGATCAATGAACCTTGAGTAGTTTAGAATATGAGTTATTGTTAGTGGTTTGAGGTGGTTTCTTGATAGTTATGTTTAAGAGAAATGATATGTGATACTAATTGTGACACCTTTCTACTCCAAATACTTATATAAAGAATTTAATAATTAATAAAATTTAAACCAACAAACTTATTATGTAATAATAAAGGAGAACGTAACAAAATAATGTCAAAAATTAAAATAAGGCACAAATCACCTAATAGAACAAAACGTCAACATGAAACATGATTAAATAAAACTTGAATAATTCCAATCAAATACTAAAATTATAAATTTTTGCCCCAATGTCAAATTAATCAGAGCAAAAATCCAAACAAGTGGAATTTTAAGCCTCTCTTTCATTAAACATATTGTCTTCTATACTTGATTTATTCTTGCAAATGGCGATCAGTCCAAACACACATAACACAAACAAAGGTAGATAGAATAAATCTCATTCATACACAACATATATGAAGCTTAAATATAAATACACACATCTACATCATAAATTAAATCTCAAGTGTATATAAATCTTCATCCACATCTTCATAATAACCATTACCATACATTCGTTCATCATTAATAACTAACAAGTCATATAAGTCATCTCAAGGGTAAAATAAAGCACATTTAATGCATGCTCCTAACTCTAGATGCATGTGATACCAATCTCCTCATCATCATCACTATAGATAACCTAGGAGCCATGGAACGGGACCACCCACCTATAGTGATCCCTACCAAGGGATGTCTATCAGGATCCTGTTCAAGTGTTACATCTAGTCATGGTTGTTTTCTATTCTTGTTACAGGTTACCCACCATAACATCTTCCAGGGAATAGGTACATGACCTATAATATCCCACCTGCATAGATTCACACTATTATATGAAAAAATTATGTATGCATGGACTCAATAATCACATCACTACATTACAATATCTAATAACTCACTTCCTCTTTTATTAGTGTGTAGTATTAGACTTATTTATCACATAATCAAGCAGTTGAGAGGCAAACAGATTTTCCTAGTAAAGGTCATTTGGAATAATGACACTAGAGATGCTACGTGAGAATTGCAAGAGAAAATTAGGAAAAATTATCTTTATTTATTTTTAGCAATAAAAATTTTAGACAAAATTTCTGTAAGTAGGGAAGAATTGTAACATTCTAAATTTTTTATATAATATTATAATATTCTCAATTTTATTATTATTATCTTATTCTTAAAATAATAGTCTAAATTTCTAGTTACCATATTTTAAAAAAAAATAGTGATTAAGTATAATGTTTTTATATAATTATAGTACATTAAATATTTTATTACAATATTTTTAGTAAACTAAAACGGAAATATATAATATGTAATTACATTATAAAATTTTTAAAAACTATTTATAATATTTTTCAAAATAATATTTTAATTATTATTATGAAATAAATATTTAAAATTGTTAAATTTTAAATGTTTAATAATAATAAAAAAAAAACCATTTTTATAGACGAAAGGGATAAGAATTTTGAAAGTTAGATTCTAACTAAATGGATAAAAAAAGGAAAAAGAAATTAAATTTGACCATAAATAAGATAAGTGGAGGGAGGGGACCTTCAGGAGAAGAAATATTTACGAAAGGGAGAGAATGTGAGAAGAGAAGGAACAAAGTAAAAAAGAAGGAAGAGAAGGAACTTCAGGAAAAAAAAAAGGGTGGGACAAATCCCTTTTACCTTATTTAAGTTCTCTTTAATCGATTTCACTCTTTTGTTAAGATAAGAGGAAGAGAACTTTTATCCCTTTTAAATTTTCTATATTATTATATTTATTTATTTTATGTTAAATATCTATATGTATATTAATTTAATGAAGTTCTTCTAATTTTTTTTGTTTGTTTAATTTATGATACTTTTAAATCTAAATAGTTAATAAGGTGTTAATTATTTATGTAGTTTCATTATTTTATGATATTTATCAATGTCATATAACTAATTTAATATTCTTAAACACATCTCATTGTTGTAAATTATGTTATACTAAATTTTATATAATTAAAAATACTCTAAATCATTTAGTTTAAACATTTTTATTATTTTTAACTATAATCTAGTTTTGTTAATTTTCCTAAGTTCAACTTATTATTACATTATCATTCTTTATAAAGATAAATATTAATCTGTGGCCATAAGAATGAAAATTTGAATTACTTTGTAATTGGAGGTTTGACCTTGGAGACTTAAATGGTAAAGAACTTAAGGTGAAATATCCTTTTATTATTTGATATTATGATAAAACTCATTTATCTTGACTAGTTACTATAATAATATTTCAAATTACACTACAACAAGAAAAATCCAATATATATAATTAATATTCATTACAAATAATTTTGCACATTCTTTTTATTTATTGGTATTTATTGGATAATTATTCTCACTCCTTATTTTTATTTGTTTTAAAATTAAATTATTTTTAATGTAAAATAGATGGATATACCAGTAGTTCCATATCCCTTTACAGTTGATATTTCTACTGTTTTCCTGGAGGAAGTTGTAATATGAATGCAGTATCTAACTCTGTCACTTTCCAAGGAATAGGAATTTCTTCCTTTATATTTTTTTCCCGAACAAGAGAATCCTACAATTATTGATGGACATATTATAATTACTTTCTTTTTACCACCTGCCAATCATGTCGATCCTATTGCAACCTTATTTCCACCTCCAATGTAATTATTCTAGTAGAAGCGTGAAGGAAAAAAAATAGTTTGTAAATAAGTACATTAATGTATATATTGTGATGTATATAATTTCATGGAATTTTCTTTTGTACTTATGATAAATATTATTAATTTTATAATTAAATTAATAATCTATAAAAAAGATATTATTTTATTATTAAATTTAGAACTATGAAATAGACGTTACACATTTATAAGGTTTCTTATAGTTAAAATTTTTCAGTCACAGTCACGCACCCTTAATTTCTTCGTTTGTTTTGGCTAAAAGTTTAGGGTGTAAACCTTAAGTTATTGAATTTGATGTTTAGCAAAACAAGTGGTCGTTTTAAAAGATCTCAAGTAAGAAATTGCAAAATTTCTCAATTATAAGTGTGAAAGAACTTAGTGGTAATGAAAATAGGTGAGAAGAAATAAGTCATTCAAACATCATCTCAGTTGTTTTTAAATTAAATTAAAAATGAAACCTTACTTTGCCAATTGTCTAAATATGCTTAGTTTGTAAATGTTGCATATTAACCCGAGAGACAATGCATGCCAACATAACAATTAATTATTGATTGATCATGAGGCTAATAAAGTTAGTAATTGATTATAATGAAAGGATTTATTTGCATAATTGAGTTTAAAATTTAGGGACACAAATATCAAAAACAAAATCTTTCAAAGACTTGTTGACTATCTTTACTATCTTTCAGGGACTAAATCAAGTATTTACTCCAATTATTTTCAATAGTGTTTGTCTAACCCAATTTTTATTTAGAGTAAATGAGACAATTTCGTATAATTGATATTTTTTTTAAACATATTATCTCTAATTGGCTGAAATTTATACAATTAAAAACACAAAATTTAGTGGATCTCATGCCGTATTTAATGATATTCTATTAATTTAATAATTTTTAATAAACTATAACCAATAAGAATAATTGTGTTTAGAAAAGAGTGTTACTAACACTCTTCTTATTATTTCTTAAAATTTGATGAAATTGAAAAAAGAATGAGATAGAAGTATGAAAATTTAAGTTGGATTTTCTTTAACATCGTTATAATCTTTCCTGTATATCTATTAAAACTAAATAAAAATAAAATTTTTTAAGACTATTATTATGTATAAAAAGCTCTAATACACCGTCATATATATGTCCAATTTCAAATTTAAAATCATATTGCCTTCATTCTTATTTATAAAATTTAAATATGATTTATTAAAATAATGAAAAATAGTTAATATATATAGTTAATAATAATAAACTTGTCTTATATTTATAATCTTTTTTCAAAATTATCTTTATATTATTTTTTTCTCTCCTAATTAATACAGTAATACTCTTCTTTCTCTCTTGTAACTTTTAAAAATCTTGTTTTGATCCCTTAAATTATTAATAATATATCTGAAAGTGACAAATTGAGACAAATATGCAGTATTAACTTGGTTTAATAATATGATTTCTCTTACTAATAGAGATACTAGTAGGTAAATTTTATACAACAATATTTGATAGATTTCGTAATTAATTTTCAATATAAAGAATAAAATAAATTTTAAAAAAAAATTTCCAGAGACTAAAAAGATTGGTTTTATAGTTGAGGGACTAAAAACAAATTTACCTTAAATTTAAAGAATTAAAAATATATTTAAACTTGTTTTCACATATATATAATTAACGCAATATTTCAAAACACAATGATTAATATATTTAATTAGAGTACATGTTTTTTTTTAAAAAATTATGATTAATATATTTTATCACATTAAGAGAACATATTTTTAGTTAAAGATATTTTAACCTAAAAATAGTTAATATATAAAATAATAAGAATTAATATTATAAAAAATAAGTAAATAGTTAGTCTAAGTTTAAACTTAAAAATAAAAACGAAAATTCTATATAAATGGGAAGAATCCATATTTGTAGCTGATGGATGTGATGGTTATAAATGAGAACAAAAGTATTTCTTTTTTGAGAAAAATAAAAAGCAAGAAGGATCTTGGATGGTGAATGGCTCCGTCATGAGAACAGTGGCTCTTTACCATTTGACCATTTATCCATCACAATCACTTCCAACTTTTTATGAGCACTGGCCAACCCCCACGCTTCCTTTATTCTCTTCCTCCTTCCTCTCAACCTTCACTTCCTCATCACACTCTCCCAATGAAGATCCAGTGCGACGTCTGCAACAAAAACGAAGCTTCCCTCTTCTGCACCGCCGACGAAGCCGCCCTCTGCGACGCCTGCGACCACCGCGTCCACCATGCCAACAAACTCGCCTCCAAACACCAACGCTTCTCCCTTCTCCGCCCCTCCCCCAGCCAACACCCTGTGTGCGATATTTGCCAGGTAAGATGGTATCAGAGTTTATCCTAACAATAATTATTCGTGATGAAAGATGTTTTCTTTTTTATATATATATTTTTATCTTCGATAATGATGTTGCAGGAGAAAAGAGCTTTCACGTTCTGCCAGCAAGACAGGGCGATTCTCTGCAAAGACTGTGACGTGTCCATTCACTCTGCCAACGAACACACCCTTAAGCACGATAGGTTTCTTCTCACTGCTGTTAAGCTTTCTGCTTCTGCTATGCTTAGCTCATCGGAAGCTTCATCTGATTCAAACTCAACCCCTTCTTCTCTTCCTCTTTCTTCTGACGTTTCACGTCAAACAACACTACCTCCATCTTCCACCGTCAACAAGGTCGCTGCTATTGTAGGAACTGCTTCCACAGACGCTATCAGTAGCAGCATATCGGACTACTTGATAGAAACTCTCCCTGGCTGGCAAGTTGAGGACTTTCTAGATTCGTATTCTGTTCCCTTTGGTTTCTCTAAGGTTTGCATCTTCTTTCTTTCTCTCAATTATCAAAAGTTATTCATGTTTTATTTTCACAAATTTTGATACAATTTCCCAAGTATTAGCAGCTAATATTCTCTAATCATAATTGAAATTTTATCTCTTTAATTTATAATTTCGTTCTCTCATCACATTTCTGTCTTTAATCTATATTGATCTTTGATGTAAACTTTAAATCATGGAGATAAAACTTATTTGTGATTGAAGGAGAACTACTAAAGAAACAACTTTGAATCTGTGTCTATGTTTTGTTTTTTGTTTCTTTTAATGTTGTTTGTGGTTGGATCTGAGATTTGTGACACTGCAGAGTGATGAAGTGATGACACGGTTTGATGGTGACGTGGAGGGGCATGTGGGTTCGTTATCGACTGAGAGCATGGGGATCTGGGTTCCTCAAGCGCCGCCACCTCTTATGTGTTCCTCGCAGATGGATCGAGTGATTATTGGTCACGCTGAGACCAACAACGTCAAAGGTAGCAGATCGAGGTTGAAGGATGATAATTTCACTGTTCCACAGATTAGTCCTCAATCCAATTCCAAGAGAGCCAGATTTCTATGGTAGAAACGAAACAAACGAAACAACTCTGTCTCTTTTCTTACCACCCTTCAATCTTATTCTGCCCTTGTTTTTCAATTCGGTTCCGTTTGACTTTTTTTTCCCAATTCCCTACAGGGCTGTGTTTGTAAGTTTTGATCTATTTGTGCACCTTTCTTCAAGTGATTGTAAATATCAACCTTTCCAAATGCATCGTGTTTTTTACCCGTTTTCAGAGGAAAACCAAAAAGATATACACACAGTTAACCAATCAGAAAAATAAATTTATTGACTTTTTAAGATATTTATAAATAAAAAAAAAAACTAATTGAAACACTATAAGATCTGCCTAGTTTATAAGCGATCAAAACAGTAGCATCGGTTGAGTTGAAATAATATGCATTAGGTTTAAATTCTAACTTTATATCAAACTTAAAATCCAGTTTATGGATTTTTTTTTTTTAATAAGAATATTTTTTTTCTTTATCAGGTTGATTTCTATAAAAAAAAAATAGTATTTTCAATTAATATGTCATATTCAGTCAGAAATCAAGTCTTAATCTTTAATTTTTAATTAAAGTGATAAACAATTTGTGTTAACCACTTTTTTTTTTTTTTTTGGTATAGATAGTACTTATTTAGAGTCTACATGGAGAGATTTCATGCGAGGGTTTTGTTTGAAATGAGTGGCAATTCAATCAACAGGGTATTTGTTTTGATCTCGTGGTGTTGTACCTTTTGTTCATGGGGGGCATAGTGTGGTTGTTGGATGAAGGACATAGAAATTAATGAGAGAAAAGGGTGTGATGGAGGAGATGATTGTACAGATGAATATGATGATGATGATGGGATTGGGCAAAAGATAAGGACAGAGAGAGGAGAGGAGGGCCATGTTTGGTGAAAAGGGTTTGAATGGATCGCATATGCTTTCTCTAAACGTCGGAAAATCATTTCTAGGAGCAACCGTACCCTTCATCATAATCATTTTGCCATCGAAAGAGGAAATTGGTTGCTATGGCTTCTACTCCAACTACTTCTCATTTTCTATTTTCGTTTTTGTTTATCCTGGTGAGGAAGGAATGAATCGGGAGGGTTTTATTTTTGTCGTTATCTGATCGAAAAATTGATCAAGTTATTTATTTTAATTCAAACTCCACCCGATTAAAGCTTTAAATATATGGAATGAAATAAGGTTAACCAATATTTTAGCTCAATATATAAATATCGGGATATGTATAGTGTATAGTTAAATTATGAAATAAAAGATATATAAAATTTTAATTAAAGTGTTTTTATAATATATATTTTAAAATAAACAATATTTTTATAATTATTTGTAAATATAATATAATATTATATAGAGTATTATTTTAAAACATTATTATTAATATGTTGTTATTTTAACAATTTATTTATTTATAATGATTTGAAGTATAACTCAAATTCATCTTAAAAAGTATATCAAGTCTAATTTTAAGATTTGAATCGGTCCAAAATAATAAGAGATTTGGTTGGATCCATGGATAGGTTAGGTTTTGCTCACACTTAGTTTATGCTACCGAATACACGTTAAAAAAAATAAAAAAAATAAAAAAAGACTTAAGTCAATCCGTCCATAAATTTAACTCGATTCTTTTATTGATTTGGATGAATTTGAGTCTTAAAATTAGAATCAGTATATTTTTTAAGATGTGTTTGAGTTATGCTTCGAGTTGTCTTGACCCAACTTTTCATTTTTTTTTATAATGCATAAATTTTTAGAATAATTGTATCTTAATAATATTTTTTTTAAAAAAAAGATATAACTTTATGTAACATTCTGTTATATTATATTAAATAATTTATTTTTAAGTATATATTAAATATATGTCTTGATTGAAGCTTTATTTTTCTCTTTTCTTCATAATTTAATTATACATATATTAATATTGATATGCTGAGTTAAAAATCAAGTTAACCCAATTTCGTATCATATATTTATCTTGATAAAGTTAGTTTGGACTTAAAAAAATGACTTGATCAATTTTTCAAATCAAGTAAGAAAAAGGGAAAAATTCGTCTCTTGTTCCAAAGTGAATTACCTCCAATAATAATCATTTATAATATATTAATAAAAAAACAAATAAACATGATTTTAATAAATTAATTTACTTTATTACATTTTTATTTTATATTATATCTTATTTGCTTTTATATATATATATAATCCCTGCATGTGGACACAGTCTGACTTGTAGGTGCCCTGCTTGTACGCATCCGGACAATCAATGCTGTGAATGGCGTTCCATAACTAGATTGTTCAAGACTTCAAGGCACTTAATGCAAATTTATTTATTTATTTATTTTTATATAATAAGAAAATAGATAATGTTAATTTACTCTCACCTATTTTTTAGTTAAAGTATATTAGCAATATACCAAAATTTTAGGATAAACAAATTACTCATTTTTTTTATTTAGTTAATTTATATAAAGAATATTATAGTAATTTTATTTTATTTTATTTTAAAAGAAAATAAAATATTTTTTCTCTTATTAACTTTATTCTCCAACTCATTTCTTTTTTTTTATTAATTAAATATCTTCTCTAACTCATTTATCTCTCTTATTAAATTCTTTCTCTAACTCATTTATATTTCTCTTATTAAATTCGTTCTTTAACTCATTTCTCTCTCATCTCTTATGATATCTCCCCTGAACAAATAAAAAATTAATTAATAACAAAAAATGAAATGGGTTAGAGAAGGAATTTAATAGGAAAGAAAAATAACTTATTTTCTTTTAAAATTATATTAAATTACTATAATATCATTTATACAAATTAACCAAATTAAAAGAAATGAGTGATTTTCTTATCTTAAAATTTTGATGTAAATTATTAATATACTCCAACTGTGAGAGTATATTAACCTTCTCCTAAGAAAATATATACTGCAATTTATTATCTATTACGACGTCAGGTCAAAACTAATATAAGAATCGAATTTTAGTTCTTAGTTACAGAATACGTATGTGGAATCCAACGACTTTCGGTTCACGGTAGATTTATCAACTTTTATCGAGACATAATGAAAATATGATTCACAGAAGTAGTTCATGGAGTAGTCACTCCATAACTTAATTCTCTATGATTATGATCTACCATGGTACCAAGCATTAAAATCTGAGAGTCCGTTCTGAACTTGATATTATAACAATTTAAATGTGGCAGTAAAGTATTATGTTTCTTTCTGTACAAATTCCTTACGATGTGTTTACAGTGAAGGCTCGTTTAGCAGTTTAGATATAGACCCACGCATATGCATGGGTAAATGAATAATTAAGTTGATAACATAAAATGAATAATCTATTTAAATGTTTTACATAAAATGATAACATAATTAAGTTGATGTTTATCTTTATTAATTGATCAAAGTAAATAATAAAAATACTTTTCTAAATTTTATTGAGGAAAAAATATATTAATGATGCCAAAAGGATATAGAAGTAAAAGAAAAAAAACTAATAAAAAATAGAGATTCATGAAATAATGGGTTATGTAATGTAACGAGAAAGTAAAAATAAATACATAGAAAATACTATATAAAAATATAATTTTTGTCACTTTTAATTTCTGATAAAAATAAAAATAAATAAATAAAATATACAGACAATAAACATGAAACTGGAAATTAAATGTGAAACATATAAGATATGGGTAAAAAATGTGATTAAAAAATATGTTAAAAAAAAATATTTTGTGGATTCACGTGTCAATTCAAATGCTAATTTTAGAATTATACATAAAATGTAAATTTATTACGATAAGTTTTTGATCTTCACATTTACACAATATTTATAAAAACAATCAAATATTTAATCTCTACCGTTATGGTTCTTATAGAGATTTTATTTATAGTTTTCCGTAAAGTCTTATTGAAGTACATTTTTTATTATATATTTAAAGTTTTAACACGTGATATGAATTAAAGTATATATTTAAGTCTTACACAACATTATTTACTTTAATATCAATATTTTAGAAACTCGTCTGTTAACATCTCACTCATTATAACATAAATATATACCAAAAATTAAATTTTTAAATACATTATTATTAAGAGAATAAATAAAAAGAAATTAATCAAGATATTTAAAATGAATCATGATCAACACCGCAAGAGCAGAGTTTCGTTATTTAGGACATAGAGAGACCATCCTCTCGCAAATTTTTTTATAATATATATTAAAAGTTATTTATATTTTAGTTAATGCTAATAAAGTTCACATAATATTTTTAAATATTTTAAATTTTATTCCTTGGTTTTTAATTAGTTTAAATCTTTGAAAATGATATTTTTTTACAAATAAAATAATTTATTTATCAATTATTAACAATTTAACATCATCAAACCAGTATAGCAAATTTTGATTATTGAAATGTAATAACTCAACAGATCACTACACTTGCTGCTACTGAACGACTACAGTGTAGTAGAAGGATAACGACACACTAGAACAAAGTTTGTTATATCGTCGGTGGCTAATATCCTATACACATCAGTTATATACAAAATACAATACTAACAGTAAAATAAACATGAGTATTGATCGACATTTATACATCGAGTAGCTAGCCATCAACTGAATCTAGCCACCTCCAACATGGCTATCCTCTAAACTATACAAGTCATCCTACTAATCTTGAATTTTTTGGTCCCCATTTCAATATTTAATAATAGAAGTATCCCTTTTCCCCATTTATTCATCAAGATGTCCTTGTTTTGGTGTTCATTGAGAAGTCGGATTTTGGGGTGCCAACTTATCAATGTAATTTTTTTTTTATAAAAATAGATTTTGAATAAAATATATATATTTTTAAATAAAATATATTATTATATTAAATAAATTATTTAAATATATAAATATTTTTAAAATACTTTAAAAATTAAACATTTACTTTTCTATTTAGATAATTTTTTTAGAGATATTATAAAAGTTAATTTTTGTGTAATTTAATTTTATTAATATGTATGATATTTTTTGTGATCAAATAATGATTTATACTCATTTTTTATGTTAGTGAATATAAGAGTATCACTTTCAAATCTTGAATTGGTTCTAAAAAAATCTTCAACATGATTCTTAAAAATTGTAAAAAAATAATAATAATTTACTAGTTCTTTAAACATTATTTTAGGAGTCATTAATTTTCATTGACTCTTATTTTTATCTCTAAATTATATAGGAATAAAT